AAAAATATTTACCAGCATCCCCCCGTTACTGGCAAACATTACTGGTATTGATCATCCATTAAAACATAAAAAAAAAAAAAAAAAAAAGAAGAAGAAGAAGTTGCGGCCCGGACAGGAAGGAAGGAGACCCTGGAACTGGATCCGGATTTCCTAGGAATGAGCAGCGCCCGGGCTGGCCGCCGGGAAAAGAGTTCAGTGCCCGTTTTTGAGCTGGAAGCCATAGCTTTGTCTCGAAAATAAACTGCTCGCGGGGGTCGGTGCGCGTCGCAGGCTCCCGCTATCTTCATCGAAATAATACAATAGGGCGGACCGGGGAATTTATTACTACTAACAAGAAACAGCTTTCTTCTGCGAGTTGTTTATAAATCATCGTATTTAACGTGAGCGCTGGAAAGGCTCCTTGCCTGGAAATATTCCTCTGCGTGGGGGTGCGGAGGAGCGGGGGGATGGGCTCCTGCACATAAACATACACACGGCAGCAGCACAAACAGGATATCCAGCGCCCTGAGAGGAGGGTTAGCAGCAGGAGTTACCTCGTTTCGTTAGTTTAGCGGCGTATCAAGAGCTCCTTCTGCCGGGGGGTGGGGAGGGAAGGAGGCAGGAGGAGGAGGAGGAGGAGGAGGAGGAGAAGAAGGGGAAGGGGGGAAAGCAAACTTTGTCCGTGAAAGAGCGGAGATTCTTCCTAACGGTTTGGGTTTTGGTTGGGTTTTTTTTTTTCCCCCCCTCCTTTCTTCGACGTGCGGGCGAAGGGAAGAACAATACTGCCTGTTCTGCCGGTGTCGCGGGGAGGGAAGTCAGTGCCGCCGAAGTGAAGCTCTGCCTTTTGTTTCCCGCGTGGAAACAACTGGGCACCCGGGGAATTTTATAACTTGATGCTCATTTTCTCGTCTCTCTCCTCCCAATTAGGTGTAGACCAGTGAGTTGAAACAAAACAAAAGGGCAAGTCCGCAGCAGGCTTCCGCCAAAGCATCGCGGGGACCGTCCTGGGAGAGCCGCCCCGCTCCCCGCGCCCGGCCC